GCGGGCGCAGCAGCGGCGGTGCGCGGGCGGCGGCGGGCTCAGCAGCGGCGGTGCGCGGGCGGCGGCGGGTTCAGCAGCGGCGGTGCGCGGGCGGCTGCGGGCTCAGCAGCGGCGGGCCGGGAGCAGTGCGGGCCGGCGGCGGTCAGCGCACGAGCCGCGCAGGCTCAGCGCGGGCTGTGCGGGCTGCTCGCGGGCTGCGTAAGCGGGTCGCGGGCGGCTCGCGGGGGTTCGCGGGCAGGTCGCGGGCTGCTCGCGGGCAGTTCGCGGGCTGTGCGCGGGCTGCGCGGGCTGGTCGCGGGCTGCGCAGGCGGGTCGCGGGCTGTGCGCGGGCGGTTCGCGGGCTGTGAGCGCGGCGCGCTGTGCGGTTCGCGGGCGGCGTGACGGGCCGATCGGGGCGCTAAGGGGCGACGCGACGGGGGCCGTGAGAGGCCGCTAAAAAAAAAAATTTCGACGGGGCCGCAGGGCCGCTAGATCGTGCTAGATCGACGGGGCCAGCGGGGCCGGAAACAAGCGAAGGTAAGCAGGTAGGTAAGTCGGTGGGCCCTAAGAACAGTCCTAGCGAAGGACCTGCTCTGAAACCATGTCAGAAATAACTGAGCAGGAATGAATGAACTAGAACAGAGTTTGGTACAAGTAGGAAACCCTAACTTTGTGTACCCCCTAAGGTGTAACCCACTACAGCCTAGACAATATAAACATGCAATGTTTGACAGAAGGGAATAAGATAGAGCTGCTGTTTTGGCCTGAGTCGCAGCCGCCACCGACGGCATGGACGATTGACAAGTGTTGCAAGACACTTGGGGAGTTCGTTTTGGGAGCCACATACGATATCTGCTCCGTCCACTGCGTTTACTCCAAGAAACCAGGGTGAGCCTTTAAAACATCTGGAAGCTTTTAAAACTTGATCATATTGTTTCCTAAGAACATTCGTTTTTACGTCTCCCCATTCAATTTGGTTCAAGTATGTTGTACAAACTCGTTGTGTAGTGTCTTGATATGACTTACGCGGTCAGTAGCAATATGAGGCTGACCATAAAGTGTAACTTGCTATAAAATCAATGTAAGTCTTACATACGCTTATCAGCAGCACGAGGCTGCTTCGTTACAGTATAGTCTGCAGGTTTCTAATATTTATGACGTATTTTAGCTTGTGTTATGGCCACTGTTATAACTACTGTTTGTGTCATGCGAAAGCGGCGTATGACACAAACATGTTGGCCTATGTAAGCACCATTTGCTTTGTACCAACGTTGAGGGTTTGTGCAACTAGCGCAAAGGACTCCCTATCCACCATTTGCAACTGCTCGCGATACCCGTTTGAGTGCACAACTGATTATGAGTTTGAGGGGACGCGCACGTCCGCCAATGCTAATGTATAGTTTCTTTTGTTACGAAGTTGCTTGCAAAACGGTGCTTTTTTCAACATGGAGTTCTCAACAGCATGAATTTCGAGGGAGCATAGGGTTGGTAGGATGAAGTTGTAATAATTTATTCGAACCATTATCACAGGCTCTTTTTATTTGTCTCCTTTTAATCATATTGCATGTCATCTCAACATTTCTTGTCAGGTACTGTGCTGGCATATTGGATGGCGTGCTCAACTGGGAGCACCGTGCATCGCATGCCCGCATGACGGCTGAGGCGGACAGCATTCCGTTGAGTGTGTTCACTCCTACGCGGCTGGATGCTTTGTTCTCGTCCAATTCGCCCACACGTCGTCAGGTTTGTGTGCACGTCGCGTCATGACATTTTACTTAACATAGCTCATAATTCTGTTCCATAATATGAGGTCATATTGAATTCAGATGTGTTCTCTTATTTCTTATTTTGTTTTATCACGCATTTGTATGTTTATCATCATCGTTCATATTCATACAGTAATAACGTATTGTGTACATTGTTTTGGTATTTATTACTTACAGGTTTCATCCTTCATTGTGGAGCTGACGGTCTCCAAGATGGAGCCTGGTTTCTTGCTGCGCGCTCTGTGTTCGGTTCGTGATGAGAGCGGACGCTTCGGTTTGACGGCGTTGGGCTCATCTGCGGACAAAATTCGCATGTTTGTGACAGAGCAGCAAAAGGTGACCAGGACTTCGTTCACATCGACTCCAGTGGTCTTGTGGATCACTGAGCTCTACGTCGAGCATCCCCAGATTTACACAACCAAGAGGTATGGTACAAGCAGTCTTACCATGTGCTTATTGATTAGTCAAGTGTTTGGACTTGAATATGGATGTTGTTGATACACGTTAACGTACATGATGTATATAGTCCCAACTATCTTTCAAATATGTATATTGTACTTTTTCCTACCAGGTCCAGGATTATCAAGGTCACTGATGATGCTGTTGTTGCTCGCGTCACGCGGAGTCTGGCTCCTGTTCTCACAGCACCAACCGACGTCGGCAGCGTCATTTCGTATGTATTGCAAGTTATAAATTACTATCAAGTTTGCGTTGCATCTTAGTCAACTGTAAAGATAATGTCATGTCTGATCAACAGATGCAGTATAAATATCGTTAATATGTACGTTTGTTCACTTTCTTTTTCCCCACTCCCTTACAGTTTGGGAGCCGTGGAGGAGAATGTGATCTCTTTGGGCCAAGAGATCACATGTGCACTCCGCGTGGAGATACGCAGCACCGACGTCACTACAGAGTGGGTCTGTTCATTCAGGCCGTCAGGAGAAGGTGCCCTCCCTTGCGGTTTTCCCGTCGGATGGTGTTTCACAAACGACGGGTACCTCTGCGACTTGGAGCATGTGACACAGGATGCGGACGCGCGAGATACAGTTGTTGCGGTTTTCGACACGACGACAGGTACTAGTGTTTTTTCTTTGTTACTATCGATTTTGTTGTAAATGTTGTTTTTAGTACTGCATGTATCACCATTCATTGTCTTGTGATAATGTAACATCTCATGCTCGATAAGCAATTGCTTTTGATGCTCTTTGTTTTCAAAAGCTATGATGTTATCACACTTAATTGATTTTCCATTTTCCATTTTCTATCAAAGTTGGAAAGCTCGCCCGCACAGGTGTGAGTGCTACAATGAGCTTGAGAGCGCTCAAGAGCGGACTGGAAGGTTTCAGCATTGCGACATGGGTTGCAGCTGATTCTGATGGCAAGCAGGAGATCTTAACGAAGCTCCTCCACAGGCGGCGTCAAATCAAGGTACGTCATGCAATGAAACATAGACATTGTGGTAGTTAATATTTTCTACTGTAGTCAACATTGTAATAGGATAAAATGTTATCAAATTCATCGTTGGTTAAAACGTCATATCGCACAACTTTTGTCATTTGTCCCTTTGATTTCAACACAGATGGTCGTGAAGGCAGCTGGAAATCGTTTTGACAGGACGATCTCTGCATTCATCATGGTAAGTGCATAATCCATTATTGCTTGAGATATAACGCCATACATTATCTTCCTTTCTTACGAATGCAAAGAAAAAATCGCTGTTAATTTGCGCATGTTTTTTTTTTTTTTTGATGATATTCATAGGAGGAGCATGTTGAAGCTGTGAACGACAACAACAAACGTGAAGCGCCGAATGGTCCACCCGCCATTCCATCGACACCCGTGAAACTCGCCCAGCGTCGTGGCGACCAGGTTAGATACAGAGCGTCATTTTTAACATAAATCCTCATATTCAATATTGATAGGTGGTTCTGGATAAGTGTACGATATAGTGCTGATTGTAGTGTGGGTTTGTTAAGCTTATTGATCCAATTATCAACTCGTGAAACTTTCTACGCGAAGTAATTTCCCTTTTTTTTTTTTCTTTTGTTCCCCGTACTATTGGTTTCTTGTTATGCTGCGCAGGGTCAGTGAGGCACAACGTCTTCATTTCCCTTACATCGATTGGAGAAGAAAAGCAAGGATGATACAAGCGAGATGGGGAATTGTGTGGAAGGAAAAGGAGAAGGAAGGAGAGGGAATGATTGAGGCCGTGCAAAAGCAGTTTTACATAAACTCAAACGATTTTTAGTTAACTATCAACTGTGTGTCTATGCGTGCCTTACATATGCTTGTGAGTGTGCGTGTATGCGTATGCGTGTGTGTTTGCGCGAGCTTATACGTCTATATACCTATCGTGTTGTGGGTGGGTTGCGTCTGTTTCAGGCTTGTGTTAACTTGCCTCATGTATGCAGCAGAGGTTGTCATCGTCGTTAGGGCAGCGTGTTTTCGCTGTTTTAACGACCCCATCAACCTTTGCTGCAGCAATGATGCATTTTAGCATTAGCTTTGAAGCATTCACAATCATTACGTGATATCCTCGTTCTACGTGTTCTGTTTCACTAATGTTAACGTGTCGTGTTGTTTGTGTTTCGAGGCGTAGTGTTAATATGAATCGTGTATGCAATTTGGGGTTGTCATCGCCGTTGGGGCAGCGTGTCTTTGCTGATTGACTTTGATGCGTTCTCAATCTTTACGTGATGTTGTGCATTGTTCTGTGTGCATTTCGTGGTTGTGGTGTGTGTGTTTCAAGGCGTGGTGTTACAATGCATCGTGTATGCAATTAGGGGTTGTCATCGTCTTTGGGGCAGCGTGTCTTCGCTGTTTCAACGACCCCATCAATCTCTGTTGCTGCATTGATACATTTTAACATTCACCTTGAAGCATTCACACTACACTTCATACCGTACCTTGTTCATTAACACAGTTGTATTAATTCATGTTGATGCCATGTTCGATCGTACCATCCGCCGTATTAATCGACGAGCTGGGACGGTCGGAACAAAATCATGGCTTTAACATGTGTATTTGGTTTCACATTTAGGATATCTTAATCAAGGGTGATGTATCCACTATTTGAGGCATTCTATTGAACACGGTATTAAACCGTTGTTCTAACGGGTGCTTCAAAGAGTGCTTAAAAATCACTCTTGAAATGATATCCCCAAAATGTGAAACCAAATATAAAGGGTTGCTACGCAACCCAAAAAGAGGGCCAAGAGCGAAAAGTCATTCCATCCACCACCTCATCATCACTGCATGCTGCTTTATACCTCGTCGCTTTTCACTCTTCTCTCCCACCCTCCACGAGACTGTTTTTCTGTCGCCCCAATTTCGCGGCCAAGTTCACGCACTAATATTATGAACCTTCCTGACCGCGTCAGTCGCGCAATCAGCGCGTAGGGCGGCGTAGAGGCTCTCTCCATTCACCCCTCCCACCACCCTAGCCGCGCAAATCCCACTCGCGCGTTCCGAGCGGCGCGAGAGCCGCGGTCGCCATGGGTGCTGCGAAGTGCCGGGCGGGGAGGTGGCGCTGCTGTTCATGGGCGTGTCGCTGGCGCTCGGCGCGCTGTGCCGCCAGATCTTCAGCAACACGCACGTGCCGTACACCGTCGTGCTGCTGCTCGTCGGCATCGCGCTCGGCGCATTTGGTGAGCGCGCCGCGCACGGGATGCGCCTGCGCATAGCTTGGTGCCTCCTGGGGAGAGCAGCGACAGCAGCAGTGGCGTTTGTACGCGGAGAGGGGAAGCGTCGGTCGTACTAAGCGTGTTTGTGCAAGGAGCATCAAGAGTAGGCTAGTGAGAGGCGCGCTAGCACCGTCGCCGCCGGTCTGAGCCGCCGTGCGAGCAGCAGCAGCGTCCACGTCGCTTGGCGCGCCAGCAGCGGCCGCGGGTGGCTGCAGCAGACGCGAGCCGGCAGAGCTGCCCGAAGCGTAGCACCTCCCTCTCACTCGCGCCCGCCTCGCGTGCCGATCGTCCCCTTCACTTCCTCCTCGCGTGCTTTCTCTCGCACACACTCGCGCGCACCTCGCACTCCGGACGTGCCTTCAATCTCTCCCTCCCTCCCTTCCGCCGTTCCATTCCCCCGCGACCCTCCCCGCGCGCAGAGTTCTACGTGGACCTGGGGCTGCTCGGCGACAGCATCCGCATGTGTACGTTCCGCCCGCCCCGCGGCACTCACTCCCCCCCCCCTGCGCACTCATTCTCCCCGCGTGCACTCATTTGCCACGCGCGCACTCTTTCGCTCCGGGCGCACTCGTTAGCCCCGCGCGCGCTCGCCTCGTGTGCCTAGGCTCGCGCTCATCCGATCCAGTTCCGCTCCGTCCACGCGGCTCGTCCACCGTCCTCGTCACCCCTGCGCCACGCGCACCTCCCCCCGCCTCGCACCGCTTCCTACCATCCATCCTCGCCACTCTTCCTCCTCCCCCCGCCCCTGTCTTCCCCCCGCGGCTCTCCCCATCCCGTGGTGCGCGACGCACAGGGGCGGAGGTGGAGCCAAACATAATCTTCTTCGTGTTCCTGCCCGCACTGCTCTTCGAAAGCGCCTTCGCCTTCGAGATGCATCAAATCAAGGTGCGCCTCCCCCCCACCCCCCCCAAACTCTGCTGCCTGCTCATACGGCATGCTGAGTGCCATAGCATTGCAGTCACCCACACGCTCATTCCTCGCCCTCTTTCCCAACCAACCGCCCGTACCCGCATCCTGTTCCCTCAACTTCTTTTCCTTCCTTGCGCTCCGGCCCCCCCTGCTATTCCCGCACCTCCCCCCCAACCCTTTCAGCGGTGCATGTTTCAGATATTCCTGCTGGCAGTGCCGGGTGTCGTCATAACCACGGGCTTCCTCGGTGTCATCTGCAAGGTACGCTCGCCCCTCCCTTCGTATCACTGCATTCCGCAGCAGCAAAACACCACATTGCTCTCCCATCACTCCACACTTCGCCTCCTCCCTCCCTCTCTCGTCCATTCCACTCCCCCCCACACAATTTGTCCTTCTTTCTCCTTTCAACCCCTCCCATCCTCTTCCTCACGCTGCACCGCAGTGCGTGCTCCCGTACGGCTGGTCGTGGTCCACGGCCATGCTGCTGGGCAGTGTCCTCAGCACCACGGATCCCGTGGCCGTGGTGGCTCTGCTCAAGGAGCTCGGTGCTTCCAAGAAGCTGCGCACCATCATTGACGGGGAGGCGCTCATGAATGACGGGTGAGCGGTGATGAGGGGTGATGAGGGGTGGTGAGGGGTGGTGAAGTTGAGGGGGTGAGGGGTGATAAGGGGCGCCACGGACCCCGTGGCCGTGGTGGCGCTGCTGCGCTACCTGGGCGCCTCCAAGAAGCTCAGCACCATCATTGACGGGGAGGCGCTCATGAATGATGGGTGAGGGGTGAAGCAAGGGCGGAGCGGCAAGAGCGCATGACGGGGGTAGACGAGGCCTGGGCATATCGTGACATGACACATGACATGGATGGGGGACTGTGGTAGCATTACAGGGAGGGAGGGCACGGCACAGTGCGTGGCAGCGCATGGCATGTCAGCCGCATGGGGAACCTTGTCCCTGCTCCTCTGACGCGCCGACCCTTCCCCTGCCCCTTCACCAGGGCGGCGATCGCCATATTCCAGCTCTTCCTGCAGCTCGTGCTCGGCTACTCCTTCTCACCGGGCGAGGTCGTCGCCTTCATGTGCCGCGTCTTCTTCCGCGGGTGCGTGCCCCCCCCCGCTCCCCATGCCCCCCCCCCCGCTCCCCATGCCCCCCGCCCCGCTCCCCATGCCCCCCGCCCCGCTCCCCATGCCCTCCGCCCCCAATATGCTCTCATCCATCCCATGTGCTTGTTACCCATCAGCACTGCCCATGGGATCTCCTGTTGTAACTCTTCCCCTCGCTCTTCCCTCTCACTACCCCCCCTCAAGGCTCAATCTACCCCCTCACTATCCTCAATCACTCTCCCCTTGCACCCTTCCTCCTCTCTCTCCCCAATCACTCTCACCCCTCGCTCCTCTCCATCACCTCTCCCTCCACCCCTCTCACCCCCCCCCCTCGGGGCGGCAGCATAGCGCTGGGCATGGCGTTCGGGGTGGTGAGTCTGCTGTGGCTGCGCACCGTGTTCAACGACTACATCATCGAAATCACCATCACCATCACCGGCTCCTACATGGCCTTCTTCGTCGTATGTGCTGCCTCTCTCGCTCACCCTCCCACACTATGCCCTCACTCAATCACTCACCATGCCACATCACGTCAAGCTGTCCTGTCCTCTCTCTCCTCCTTTTCAGCCGCACCACTCCTCACCCTCCACCTTCCCCCCCATGTGCCTCTCCTCCCCGCGCCCCTGCATGCAGGCGAACGCAGTGACCAACATGTTGGTGCCCTCCCGCCCACCCCGCTTATCCCTCTGCCCCATATTTCTCTGCTCTGATTAATAATTTTCAACCCAGATTTGTCGCAGCTTCTCTCACAAGTGCTCATCACTGTGTGCATGCACGTGGCATGGCATGTGGCATGTGGTGGCATGTGCGTGGCAGCATGTTTGCCATATTCGCCAAGACGGCATTCACAGGGGAGAACGAGAAGAACATGCACAGCTTCTGGTGAGCCCATGCACAGCTTCTGGTGAGCCCATGCTCTCTTCTCCTCCTGCTTATGCTGCATTTCATCACCACAGCTGGTCGATGACACTCACATGCATGTGTGTGCTGTGCTGTGCCATGTGCGTGTGTGCCATGTGCGTGTGTGCCATGTGCGTGTGTGCCATGTGCGTGTGTGGTGTGGTGCGGTGCAGGGAGATGCTGGCATACATCGCCAACACACTCATCTTCGTGCTCAGGTACCCTCGCACGCCGCACCCATGCACTTGGCTATCCGCTCCTACCTCCCCGCTCAACCCCATTATGCCTTGGCTTTCGTGTTAAAGCCTCTTCTGTCGCCCGTTTCCTTGTCCGCCCATGTGGACATCCATCCTCATGCCTCCCCCCTCCCCTCCCCTCCCCTCCTTCCCCCCGTGCATGCAGTGGAGTGGTGATCGCCGAGAGCGTGCTACACAATGCCAGCTACATCCAAGGTACCGCCCGCCCCTCACTCCCGCCCCGCCCTGCTCACCCCTCACACACCTGTGCTCACATCACAAGACTATCATTTGAAAGACACGCCTTTACCTCCTCCTGGCTCACCTCCTCCTCTCCCTCTCCCTCCGTATCCCCATCCTCTCCCGACCCCCCCTCCGGGCCAGGCGTTGACTGGGGCTACATGCTGGCGCTGATTGTCTTCGTGCAGCTGTCCCGGGTGGTGGTGGTGGGGGTGCTGTACCCCGGGCTGGCCTCCAGCGGCTACGGGCTCACGTGGAAGGAGGCCATCATCCTCGTCTGGTCGGGGCTGCGCGGCGGCATCGCTCTCACGCTTGCCCTCGTTGTCAACGTGAGTGATTGCTCTCTGCTCTCTGCTCTCTGCTCTCTGCTCTCTGCTCTCTGCTCTCTGCCATACCATTGGCATCCAAGGCCCGCCGTTGCGTTTCCTTTCCCCTTATCTGCTGCCTGCTCTCATGTCATGTCCTGCCCTGCCCTGCTCTGCCCTGCCCTGCCCTGCCATGCCATGCCATGCCATGCCATAATCATCCCCCCTGCCTCTCCTCTCCCCTGCACCTGTCTCCCCCCCCGCATGTCCCCACTACAGCATGAGAAGCAGCCGGACAAGATATCAGAGTCCACGTCAGCCAGGGTGAGAGCAGATGCTCCGCTGCCCACCACCCTCCACTCATGCCCGCTCTCTTCCTCGCCATGCCTGCTCTCTTCCTCGCCCTGCCTGCTCTCTTCCTCGCCATGCCTGCTCTCTTCCTCGCCCTGCCTGCTCTCTTCCTCGCCATGCCTGCTCTCTTCCTCGCCATGCCTGCTCTCTTCCTCGCCCTGCCTGCTCTCTTCCTCGCCATGCCTGCTCTCTTCCTCGCCCTGCCTGCTCTCTTCCTCGCCATGCCTGCTCTCTTCCTCGCCCTGCCTGCTCTCTTCCTCGCCATGCCTGCTCTCTTCCTCGCCCTGCCTGCTCTCTTCCTCGCCCTGCCTGCTCTCTTCCTCGCCCTGCCTGCTCTCTGTCCTCTTCGTCTGTGCTCTAATTCGCCCGCCTGCTCCCAACCCTCTCGCTTATACCACCTTCCCCCATTCTTTCACCTGCCCACACATTTACCCCCTTCTCCCCACCTCCTCCACCCCTCTCAACCTCAACACCTCTCCCCCCTCCCCCCCGCCAGGTTATGTTCATAACGGGCGGCATAGTGTTCCTGACGCTGATAGTGAACGGCAGCACCACGCAGTTCATATTCGCGGCGCTGCGCCTCAACCACACGTCCAACGTGAAGAAGCACGTGCTGCACTTCACGCGCCACGAGCTCTTCCACCACGCGCTCAAGACCTTTGAGGAGATCGCCCACGACGAGCAGCTGGGGCCCGCCCACTGGACCACCGTCAGCGACTACCTCACCTGCCTGGATCAGCGGGTGCTGGAGCCGGAGGGGCGAGGTGCGGGGGCAGGGCACCACACGCACACGCGCGGCAGCCGCACGCACACGGTGTCGACGCTGCACGCGCACGGGGAGGGCGGCGGGGAGGTGGATGTGCAGAAGGCGGCGGAGGAGGCGGTGCTGCAGCAGCAGCTGGCGGACACGCGCTTGCGCTTCCTCAACGGCGTGCAGGCAGCGTACTAGAGCATGCTGGAGGAGGGGCGAGTCAACCAGACGGCCGCCATGCTGCTCATGCAGGCCGTGGCTGAGGCAGTCGACCTCACCTCGCAGCAGCACCGGCTGTGCCTGTGGGCAGCCATGCGCCCGCACGTGCGCATGCCGCGCTTCTTCCGCGCGCTGCACCGCTCGCTGCGCCCCATCCTGTCGCAGCGCGCCCTCAACTGGGTGACGGTGGACCGCCTCGAGCTCGCCGCCTCCATGGGCGCCACTTACATCCGTGCTCTGCGGCAGACTCGGCAGCAGCTGCGGGAGTTCCTCAGTAAGTCAGTGATGGAATCTCAACTGGGTGACGGTGGACCGACTCGTGCTCGTCGCTTCCATGAGTGCCGCTTACATCCGTTCCTCAGTGCGTGCTGCTTGCTGCGTGCTGGATGCTGGGTGGTTGGGTTTTTGAGTGTGGCAGCTTTTGCATACCAAATCCTTGCCAAGAGATGGGTGCACAGCATGCCCTGCTCAGAGCATACGGCTCAGATGTATGTATGCCACCCATGCCCATGCCCCTCTCTCCCGATCTCACCTTCCTGTACGCAGAGGACAGCCTAATACTGGAGGCGGTGATATTGGAGAGCGAGGAGGAGGAGACGGAGGCGAGGAAGTTCATCGAGGATGTGCACCTCAACGTGCCCGAGGTGAGACGTGCTGCAGCATGTACTCCGTGCATGTATCTTGTTGTGCTGTGCTGTGCTGTGTGCCCACATACCCCTTCCCACCCGCGCCGCTCACCTGTGTTTTCACTACATGCATGCGCTGTGTGTCCGTGTGCTGTGGCAGGTTCTGACGATCATCAAGTGGATGTTTTTCTTTGGAGGGGGCAGGGAGGCACGTGAGGAGCGGGCGGGAGTGAGCGGGCACGGTGCCACCATGCGCATCGGCATTGCCACGTCCTCAGATGGGATGCACTTCCACCGCGTTGCAACTTCCGGTGCTGCTGCTGGTGCTGCTAGTGGTGTGAGTGGCACTGGTGGTGCGCTGTTAGCAGCATGGGAGGGACTGGTGGTGGATGTAGGTGCAACAGGCGACCCGGATGATCTGTTTGTAGCTACACGACCGTGTAACAGATGATCTGTTTGTAGCCTGGCCGCGTGTGCTCACTCCCTCCATGCTCGCCCGTGCCACGCCTGCTGCTGCCTCCCACCCTGCTCAAGCAATTCTACCTCACGAGAGTTGCTTCCATCCACATGCACCTCTGCCTCTACGTACTTACTAACTCGCGCCCACTCCACTCTTCGCCTCATGTTCCCCTGCTGCTCTTTTCTTTCCTGCTTGTATGTCCTCCAGGGACCTCTCTTTTGATTCCTCATAATGCCCTTCCCCACTCCCACACCATTCCCGTGTTGCCATTCCATGCCCATCCTCACTCGTGCCCCCATACCCAAGCTCTATCCCTATGCCACCCTCGCCCTCAACCCCACCTCCACCCCACCCCACTTCACTCCGCCCCTCAGCACCTCTGGCTGATGGCCTAGAGCGCCATGTCCTCCGCGTCCCCCTCCTGCATCCTCCTCGCCTCCGCCCCCAACGGCCTCTCCTGAACCCGCCACGGCCCCATCGTCTCCCCCGGCGCGCCCGGTGCATGGGACGCGGCAGGGGTGAGGCGGCGCCACGTGACTGTGCATGCGGGTGTGCTTGCCATGTGCTATGCGGGCGTGGGGGGGGATGGGAGGCATGGCATTGGGCTAGCGGTGTCGTGTGATGGGTTCACGTGGGGGGAGGCTGAGAGGGAAGGGTGTGAGCCAGGAGGGCCGGTGTTTGGCCGTGGGAGGAAAGGGAGGCTGGGGAAGAGGAGAGTGAAGTGGGTACGAGAGGGAAGGGGGGACAGAGTGCAGTTGGGGTAAGGGAAAGGGACAGGGATGGGTATGGGGGTAGGAATGGAGATGGGGATGGGGATGGGGATGGGGATGGGGATGGGGATGGGGATGGGGATGGGGAAATGGATGGGGATGGGGATGAGGATGGGGACGGGGATGGGGATGGGGATGGGGATGGGGATGGGGATGGGGATGGGGATGGGGATGGGGATGGGGATGGGGATGGGGATGGGGATGGGGATGGGGATGGGGATGGGGATGGGGATGGGGATGGGGATGGGGATGGGGATGGGGATGGGGTACATGCATGGGAGGACTTGGTAGTGGTGGCATTGCATGTGGTGTGCATGGGGGGTGGCACCATGTGCCTGTACTGTGCTGCGCGGGGCACGGGCAGCAAGGCCTCCTCTGACTTGAAGATTGGTGTGGCGCTTGGCACGAGCGGTGCACTGGGGGTGTGGCGCAGGGGCCGGTGAGGGGTAGCTTGTGGTTAGACTGTTTGAGAGTTTGGTTGTAAGGGGCAATGACGGAGACATGAGCAGGAGAGGGCAGGGATAGAGAGCAGCAACCCCCAACTGCACACTTGTCAGTCTGCGCTTGGGTGTGTGCGTGTGTGTTGATGAATTGTAGAATTGTACACATCTTTCCACCAACTACCAGTACATGCACCAAGTCGTGGATTTCCAGTACCGTATCAAATAGTATAATGGCAACCATCCATTTGGCATGCCATGGCATGGTCCATGGCACATGGCACAGTGAAGCACTGGAAGCAGCACTGCTTGTAACAGCAGCAACACACACTCACATCAGTCGTACCACAACCAACAGATGCCAACGCAAACACCAAGAGAGGCCAGCAGCAGCACATGACACGGCTGGCCTGCCTGCCGGTCACTTGCTTGCAGTTGCAGGTGACCACAATGGGGTTAGCCCAGCCTAGCCGCCTTCTCTGTCACCTCGTTCCAGTCAGCCAGCCAGCGGCAGGTAGGTGGGTGGGTACATAGCAGGGGCTTCGCATCGCCTCTCTACGCCTTGGTCCAGGACACCTGCAGGTGTGAGAAGGCGAGCTCAAACTCCCTCTCGTCCTCTCTGCGACTCCTTCCTGCAGGTGTGTCATCTTCGCTCCGGCCTCCAGGTCCAGCCGTGTGAGCTGCTAGTCGTAGTAGCCCTAGTTCACTCGCAGACCTGCACTACCCGTAGTTCCTGGTCATGGTTTATTTGCCGTGACTTTTCTGGCAATCGACGTGTAAATGTCAAAGTTCTTAGGACGCATAGAAGGTCTTGTATGCCAGTTCCAATGGATTTAATCAAACCAGAGCGAAATTAATATGCTAATTCAGTTGGCCTTCTAGCAGAGACGGATAGCAGGACAGCGTTTCAATAGAGAAGGATATCAAGCTGTGAAGCAACATCACTCCGCAAAGACAATGCTGCTGCGGCTTGGAGAATTGTATCAACATTTCTGTGTTTCACCATCAATGCAACGTCGCTGCCATTTAGGCATGTGCCTATCTCTTGCCATCAATGCAACGTCACTGCCGTTACTGCTGCCCATGTGCCTCCTGCTGTGGCTGTGCCTGTCCCGAGGCCTGAATCTGTCCCGGTGCCTGAATCTGTCCCGGTGCCTGAATCTGTCCTGGTGCCTGAATCTGTCCCGGTGCTTGAATCTGTCCCGGTGCCTGAATCTGTCCCGGTGCATGAATCTGTCCCTGTGCCCGAATCTGTCCCTGTGGCTGAATCTGTCCCTGCGCCCGAATCTGTCCCGGTGCCCGAATCTGTCCCGGTGCCCGAATCTGTCCCGGTGCTCGAATCTGTCCCGGTGCCCGAATCTGTCCCAGTGCCCGAATCTGTCCCTGTGTCTGAGGCAGTCGCTGCAGTGGTTGTCGCCGAGAACCACCTCTCCCCGTTGCATACTGGACCTGCACCTCACGGTGCTGTAACATAACAGCCACATTATCACATGGTCAGAGAATGACCACGAAAAACACGCGTGCGTCATGCACATGTATGCCATGCACCCATGCGTGCCATGCACCCATGCGTGCCATGCACCCATGCGTGCCATGCATCCATGCGTGCCATGCACCCATGCGTGCCATGCACCCATGCGTGCCATGCATCCATGCGTGCCACGCATCCATGCGTGCCATGCATCCATGCGTGCCATGCATCCATGCGTGCCATGCACCCATGTGTGCCATGCATCCATGCGTGCCATGCATCCATGCGTGCCATGCACCCGTCTGTGCCACACACCCTCCCACCCACACCACGCCACTAGACGGGTGGCAGCAAGGACCAACCATTGTTAAAAAAATACTGCAAGAATAATGAGAAAATTACTCACCCGAATCATCCTAGGTGGATTAGTAACAACCTGCATTGCCTCCTCCAGTGTCCGATACTTGACAAAGCCATATCCTCTGAGATGAAACAATACAAATGACAAAAAAGCAAGCAAGTTAAATTAGGATATAAACCAACCTTCTAAAATAGCAAAAGAGTAGAAAAACACAAGCTAAAGAGAAGTACACAAAGTGACCGGACCAACTACGACACATACACACATCCCTGTATGACAACGACAAACAATATATGTGCAGTCACACCAACTCACGTTGGGAGGTCTTGCTCGTTAAGGATGAGGTCGCATTCTTCAATCTCCCCGTACTGCTGAAAAATGTCTTGAAATTGTTCCTTAATCAACTGAAAAGGAAGGCTCTGTACATAAACTGTACGCGTCGGCAGCTCGACTGGAGCAGGCTGCCCTCCTCGAGCAGGCTGTCCTCCTCGAGCAGGCCGCGCGGCTAGAGCACGCTGCGCGGCTAGAACAGACTGCGCGGCTAAAGCAGGCTGCGCGGCCAGAGCTGTACGCGTCGGCAGCTCGACTGGAGCAGGCTGCCCTCCTCGAGCAGGCTGTCCTCCTCGAGCAGGCCGCGCGGCTAGAACACGCTGCGCGGCTAGAGCAGACTGCGCGGCTAAAGCAGGCTGCGCGGCCAGAGCAGGCTGCGCGGCCAAAGCAAGCCGCGCGGCTAGAGCAGGCTGCATGGCGGCTGGAGCAGGCCGCGCGGCTGCAACAGGCTGCGTAGATAAAGCAGGCTGCCCAGCAACTGTGGCAGGCTGCCCGGCAACTGGAGCAAGCTCCTCGATAATTGGAGCAGGCTCCTCGACAACTGGAGCAGGCTCCTCGACAATTGGAGCCTCGACAACTAGAGCAGACTCCTCGACAACTGCAGCAGGCTCCTCGAAAACTGGAGCAGGCTCCTCGACAAATGGAGCAGGCTCCTCGACAACTGGAGCAGGCTCCTCGACAACTGGAGCAAGCTCCTCGACAACTGGAGCCTCGACAACTAGAGCAGACCTCTCGACAACTGCAGCAAGCTTCTCGACAACTGGAGCAGGCTCCTCGACAACTGGAGCAAGCTCCTCGACAACTGGAGCAAGCTCATCGACAACTGGAGCAGGCTGCACGGCAACAGGAGCAAACTCCTCGACAACTGGAGCAAGCAGCACGACAACAGGAGCAAGCTCCTCAACAACAGGAGCAAGCTCCTCGACAACTGGAGCAAGCTTCTCGACAACTGGAGCAAGCTCCTCGACAACTGAAACAGGCTCCTCGACAACTGGAGCAGACACCTCGACAACTGAAACAAGCTCCTCGACAACTGGAACAAGCTCCTCGACAACTGGAGCAGGCTCCTCGACAACTGGAAACACCTCGACAACTGGAACAGGCTCCTGGACAACTGGAGCAAGCTCCTCGACAACTGGAGCAGGCTCCTCGACAACTAACACAGGCTCCTCGACAACTGGAGCAAGCTCCTCGACTAGTGAAACAGACTCCTCGACAACTGGAGCAAGCTCCTCGACAACTAAAGCAGGCTCCTCGACAACTGGAGCAGGCTCCTCGACAACTGTAGCAGGCTCCCCGGCGGCTGGAGCAGACTGCGCGGCGGCTGGAGCGGTCTGCCCGTCATTCTTGTTGTCCGGCATCGACGTGAACTCCCAAATCGTAGGACGAAAGTAATATGCTCTTTGGTTCTGATTTGAGAGTAAACATAGAGACAGAGAAGTAAAATCAATTACCAACAAAAATTAGAATTCAAAAAATAAAAGAAAAATAATAACAATAAGACGATAGAGATAATTATATAATAACAACATAACACCACTTACTTGAATGACCATCTGTTCCTCACAACGAAGAGCCAAACATGCAGCGCGCGTTGTTTTGAAAATGATGATCCCAGTGGATACGTTCGAATTCGGCGATTCAAGAACGAAGCTGGCAGATTCCACCTCGCCAAACCTTTCGAACGCCTGCGAATCAACAAACGTAAACAAGAAAAAAATCAGAGTTAAGATTCATAGCATAAATCATTGTCAATCGATAAAACAACCAATTTAATAATATAAACTTTGACTTACTTTCTTCAACGTATCTGCTGAGATGTTAGGCACCCCGAACACATGGAGCTTGCGACTCGTCTCGTCAGCGTTGGCGACGTTCTCCATTTCCTCAAGATAAGCCTTGTGCTCCAAAACCCTTGTGTCACGCACATGTGAAGGAAAGTTAGTGCATAATAAGAGTAAGCAGTAATGCATGCTACCACAAAAACCATAACATCATCTATAATAAGTTCTGCTACCATAAAAACCATAACATCATCTATAATAAGTTCTGCTATGACCAATATAACCGAAAACAGAAAGGGGTGAATGTAACTTACCAAGATGACACCATAGAATGAAATTTCTCCCTCGAAATAGTTTTCATCTCATCTATTATCACATCCTTGTCAAGCCGCCTCCTCTTCTCTCCTTGATCCATGACGCTCGAGCGATATGCACGCGGAAATGCCTGCAGCAATACAAGAGAAAAACATGAAGTTAAAAACAGGAAGGGGGCGGTTGTAGCAGGAGAAGCAGTCGCAGCAGGTGGGGGGAGGAAAGGCCGCCACAGCAGGTGGGTGGGGAGGAGAGGCAGCTGCAGCAGGTGGGTGGGGAGGAGAGGCAGCCACAGCAGGTGGGTGGGGAGGAGAGGCAATCGTCGCAGGTGGGGGGAGGAGAGGCGGCTACAGCAGGTGGGTGGGGAGGAGAGGCGGCTGCAGCAGGTGGGTGAGGAGGAGAGGCAGTCGCAGTCGGTGGGGGGAGGAGAGACAGCCACAGCAGGTGGAGAGAGGAGAGGCGGTCGCAGCAGGTGGGTGGAAAGGAGAGGCAGCCCCGCACGATGTTGCGTTGTGCCGAAGAAGTGTTGCGCGTGCACCCGGTCCATCATCACTGACGACGGCACGTGCACCTGCAATGGGGAAACGGGGTGAGGGGTGGGAACCGCGGAGGAGGAGGAGTTTATATGCGAGTCAACTTAAGTGCTTCGCGTGCACCCCGTCCACTATCACAGATGATGTGCACCTGCAATGGGGGAGGAATAAGGATGTGTGAGGGGGGAATGGGGTTGAGGGAGAATAAAATGACAAGTGAGAAGGTGGGGATGGGGAGTGGGAAAAGAGGGAAATGGAAACACCATCACAGCAGAGGCTCACAGCAGAGGCGGGAACCAGTGAGGCGAAAAAAGGGATGGGGCAATGCAATGCATGGCGCAGCACCTCCCACCTTCATCATGTCGCTGAAGCCAGATAGAACTCTCCTTTTCATCTGCCGTCCCTGCTGTCTCCATTGCAGCCTCCTTTTCTCCATTCGCTGCAGCCACCTTGCTGGCCTCGGTAATCAGGGGTGGTGCAGGGAGAAGGAGACGGAGAATGAGAAAGAGAGAGAGTGCTGATGCGTCTCTGATCCATGCCTCCACGTACACTCCGAACAGCTCCCTTGCATCTAGGCCCCCAGGCACCTTGCTGCTCGAGATGACAATGGGGAAGGACAGATGCACGCAGCAGTGATTGGGGGTGCTGATGCAAAGGGAAGGGAACAGCAATCATGCGGATGCCATTCCACAGCCAAACTGGTATTGATGCAGCCACGATGCAACCACGATAACTCACCCACCTTTGCCCTTTCAAGGCACGTAAAAAACCATACACCGTGAATTCATACCGAGTGCGTCATTTGAGGATTCTAAGAAACAACATTCAGCCTAATAGACCATAGATCGATGCATCCACGTTGCCTCATCCAGCCCACCATAGGTCAACCCAAACAGACAAGCAAACAAACATGATGCCCCACTCACTCACCCCACGATAATCGCAGGCCAACGCAACTACAATGCCTCACTCACTCACCCCACGATAATCGCAGGCCAACGCAACTACAATGCCTCACTCACTCACCCCACGCCCCACAGCCGAGCCGATCCTCCACGTCAGCACCACAAATCAAAACCATGAAAAACCCAAGACCAAAGCACCCACAGTGCTTCACTCACCTCACACCCCACAGCATGAGCCTGTCCTCCACGTCAGCAGGCGTGCAGCAGGTTCTTGACATGTGGCAGCAGGTGCTGAGGTAGCACCGCCAGCAGGAACTGGTTGACTCGCCTCTGCAGCTCCACCATGTACACGCCAGCTGTCAGCTCGGGTAAATCCACAAAGCTGACGTGGCGTGGGATGGTGGGGGGGTGGGGTCAATGGATGAAGAGGTTGGGATGGGTTGCCTTGGGTTGAAGGGCAGCTCGAAGCCAGCAGGAGCTGGTTGACTCGACTCTGCCGCGCTGCAGTCTGTGTGGGGAGGGAGATGAGAATAGGGGAGGTGGGAAGGCAAGGCAAGCAGGCAGAAGGTGCCGTTGACATACTCGTCCGTCTCTGACAAGTCCTGCTTGCACCGCCGCCGCGCTGCAGTCTGTGTGGGGAGGGAGATGAGAATAGGGGAGGTGGGAAGGCAAGGCAAGCAGGCAGAAGGTGCCGTTGACATACTCGTCCGTCTCTGACAAGTCCTGCTTGCACCGCCGCCGCGCTGCAGTCTGTGTGGGGAGGGAGATGAGAATAGGGGAGGTGGGAAGGCAAGGCAAGCAGGCAAGGTGCCGTTGACATACTCGTCCGTCTCTGACAAGTCCTGCTTGCACCGCCGCCGCGCTGCAGTCTGTGTGGGGAGGGAGATGAGAATAGGGGAGGTGGGAAGGCAAGGCAAGCAGGCAAGGTGCCGTTGACATACTCGTCCGTCTCTGACAAGTCCTGCTTGCACCGCCGCCGCGCTGCAGTCTGTGTGGGGAGGGAGATGAGAATAGGGGAGGTGGGAAGGCAAGGCAAGCAGGCAGAAGGTGCCGTTGACATACTCGTCCGTCTCTGACAAGTCCTGCTTGCACCGCCGCCGCGCTGCAGTCTGTGTGGGGAGGGAGATGAGAATAGGGGAGGTGGGAAGGCAAGGCAAGCAGGCAAGGTGCCGTTGACATACTCGTCCGTCTCTGACAAGTCCTGCTTGCACCGCCGCCGCGCTGCAGTCTGTGTGGGGAGGGAGATGAGAATAGGGGAGGTGGGAAGGCAAGGCAAGCAGGCAGAAGGTGCCGTTGACATACTCGTCCGTCTCTGACAAGTCCTGCTTGCACCGCCGCCGCGCTGCAGTCTGTGTGGGGAGGGAGATGAGAATAGGGGAGGTGGGAAGGCAAGGCAAGCAGGCAAGGTGCCGTTGACATACTCGTCCGTCTCTGACAAGTCCTGCTTGCACCGCCGCCGCGCTGCAGTCTGTGTGGGGAGGGAGATGAGAATAGGGGAGGTGGGAAGGCAAGGCAAGCAGGCAAGGTGCCGTTGACATACTCGTCCGTCTCTGACAAGTCCTGCTTGCACCGCCGCCGCGCTGCAGTCTGTGTGGGGAGGGAGATGAGAATAGGGGAGGTGGGAAGGCAAGGCAAGCAGGCAGAAGGTGCCGTTGACATACTCGTCCGTCTCTGACAAGTCCTGCTTGCACCGCCGCCGCGCTGCAGTCTGTGTGGGGAGGGAGATGAGAATAGGGGAGGTGGGAAGGCAAGGCAAGCAGGCAAGGTGCCGTTGACATACTCGTCCGTCTCTGACAAGTCCTGCTTGCACCGCCGCCGCGCTGCAGTCTGTGTGGGGAGGGAGATGAGAATAGGGGAGGTGGGAAGGCAAGGCAAGCAGGCAAGGTGCCGTTGACATACTCGTCCGTCTCTGACAAGTCCTGCTTGCACCGCCGCCGCGCTGCAGTCTGTGTGGGGAGGGAGATGAGAATAGGGGAGGTGGGAAGGCAAGGCAAGCAGGCAGAAGGTGCCGTTGACATACTCGTCCGTCTCTGACAAGTCCTGCTTGCACCGCCGCCGCGCTGCAGTCTGTGTGGGGAGGGAGATGAGAATAGGGGAGGTGGGAAGGCAAGGCAAGCAGGCAAGGTGCCGTTGACATACTCGTCCGTCTCTGACAAGTCCTGCTTGCACCGCCGCCGCGCTGCAGTCTGTGTGGGGAGGGAGATGAGAATAGGGGAGGTGGGAAGGCAAGGCAAGCAGGCAAGGTGCCGTTGACATACTCGTCCGTCTCTGACAAGTCCTGCTTGCACCGCCGCCGCGCTGCAGTCTGTGTGGGGAGGGAGATGAGAATAGGGGAGGTGGGAAGGCAAGGCAAGCAGGCAAGGTGCCGTTGACATACTCGTCCGTCTCTGACAAGTCCTGCTTGCACCGCCGCCGCGCTGCAGTCTGTGTGGGGAGGGAGATGAGAATAGGGGAGGTGGGAAGGCAAGGCAAGCAGGCAAGGTGCCGTTGACATACTCGTCCGTCTCTGACAAGTCCTGCTTGCACCGCCGCCGCGCTGCAGTCTGTGTGGGGAGGGAGATGAGAATAGGGGAGGTGGGAAGGCAAGGCAAGCAGGCAGAAGGTGCCGTTGACATACTCGTCCGTCTCTGACAAGTCCTGCTTGCACCGCCGCCGCGCTGCAGTCTGTGTGGGGAGGGAGATGAGAATAGGGGAGGTGGGAAGGCAAGGCAAGCAGGCAAGGTGCCGTTGACATACTCGTCCGTCTCTGACAAGTCCTGCTTGCACCGCCGCCGCGCTGCAGTCTGTGTGGGGAGGGAGATGAGAATAGGGGAGGTGGGAAGGCAAGGCAAGCATGCAGAAGGTGCCGTTGACATACTCGTCCGTCTCTGACAAGTCCTGCTTGCACCGCCGCCGCGCTGCAGTCTGTGTGGGGAGGGAGATGAGAATAGGGGAGGTGGGAAGGCAAGGCAAGCAGGCAAGGTGCCGTTGACATACTCGTCCGTCTCTGACAAGTCCTGCTTGCACCGCCGCCGCGCTGCTGTCTGGAATGGGGAGAGGAGAGGGGAAAAGGAGAGGGTCGAGAGAGGAGATAGAAGAGGTAGGAAAGTCAGGCAAGCTAGCAGCAGGTCATTCCGCAGGCCAAACAGGTGCACGGCAGGGGGAGCCGGCGCGAATATTGAGGTGTGTTTTCAGGCACCTCAAACGCCACCTCAATGCACGCAAAAGTCAGGCAAGCAGCCCAAACAGGTGCGCAGCAGGGGGAATAGCCGGCGCCAATAGTGATCTTCCCCACGTGATCTGCCAATAACCCTCCTTCCCCCCCTCTCCTCTCACCTGCAGGTACCCACAGAACTGCTGCTGCACCTCTGGCAGCAACTAGTCATTCAGAAGCCCAAACAGGTGCACCGCGGGGGGAATCGCCGGCGCCACCAAGGCTGCCGCCTCTGCCCCACCAGCG